TTAACGTGTCAGCTAGGCTATCAAAAGTTTAACTATTTATGCAGAGGGTATAATAGTAGGCGACATTAATAGACACGGGAATACGAAAAAGATTGATGAGTCGCCTACCTCTGGGGCCAAGTGAAAGTTGCTTTCATAAAAGATGGCTGAAAAGCGAACCTCCGAGTCGTCACGATTTGGTGCGGCATAGAGCAGGGGATGAAGTCGGTTTGCGCGAGATTGCTGAGCCCTACAGCGGGCCTCCACCTCAGAGACACGCTTATTGGATGATGCAGTGATGAAATCAGCCAATTGTCGGGTGTCCCTGTGTCGGCAAGTGCATGGATAATGGCTGAGCGGGGGTGGCCAGCAGTCTACAAGCTCGGCACAGTCCGGATCCTCCTTTCCAGAAATCTCCATGCCAGGGGTTGAAGGCTGTTGCGGTAAGCGGCTAAGCGGTTCCTCAGAGATGGGACGTGGAGAACCCTTCAAAGATGTGACAGAAGTATATAAGAACTCACACTGAAGAAATTGGCTAAATACCTACACAGGTCAAATTAGTAAAGCGTATAGTGTTGTTAAGATTTGGACATCCATCCTTCTGTGCCCTCTCCAGCAAAGGTAAATAACGGCAACAACGGTAAGCTAACAATAGTCGTGGCGGAGGAAGCTGCATCTATGTTTCTGTCGCTGGACTATACACAATTTACGGCGTTAGAAGAGAGCTGCTGGCTCCGCGTTGTTCTGAAGGAACACTACTCCTTACTAGTTGGCTGTGTGTATCGCCCACCCAATTCCAGTTGGGACCATGATCTTTGTCTCTCCCAAGCATTTCCTGCAGCAACTGCCTTAAATTTTAAGTACTGCTGGATTGAAGGCGACTTAAATCTTCCTGAAGTGCAATGGTTTCCATCCTCCGGTGCTTAAAAGTTCGAGAACTTACTTGAGGCCATAGACATTGGCATGTGGGATCAGACAGTCGACATTCCCAGCCGAGGATCAAACATACTTGGGCTAATATTCTCTAGAGGGTGCGAAGCACTATCGATGTTATCTTTAGACGTACTTGGGAGTTCAGATCATCTCACAGTTGTTATTACACTAGAAGTGGAGACGGACGAAACTTTTTCCAAAAAATATAGTTTTTCTAATGACTTCCGATCAGCAGATAGGGCGTAATTACTGACACGTGTTAATTCCTTCGACTGGTCTGACTTTTTCCCATGTTTGTGTGAATGGTTTTAATAATACACTGTACAAAGTTCAGGATCCACTCATTTCCCGTTTTTTTCCTCGTTAGGAATTAATAAATGTGAAGGATGAAGTCTACCTTCCCATATCTTTCCGCCATAGGCTCCGTAGACTCTCACATCGTTTCCATCCATAGAAGGACACTCCCGTTCTGCCCCCTGATCCAACTGATCTTTGAGCAGGCTAAGAAGCTCTCCGAAGAAAAACAGTTAGTCGATTAGATCAACCTTATTAAAAACCCTTCGCTAAATATTGACCGCTGGTAGTTTCAATGCGTTCTTATCCAGAACGCTCAGAACATAAAAAAACTAAGCAC